AGAGGAAAGCTGGGCCCAGACTCCCAGGCCAGGGTGCCTGCTGTGACATCTTTCTTTTCTCTGACCAGCACCATTCTGGGTTCAAGATCCACCTCTCTCAGGCTGCAGGAAATGTATTTTAGTGTTGCCCTGGGATAGCAAGCTTTCCATACATGGCACAGAGTTTACAGCTGGTTAATATGCACCACCTCCTCCTCTTCAGTTTTCACAACTCATACACCGTGTTACACTGATGAGGCTGCCTAGTCCATCGACCACCACAGGCATTTCCAGAATTTCCCGCTCTGCTGGGCACAAGACAGGACCAGAAGGAACTAAAGCCAGTTCTTGGCTTGGAGTGTAAAGAGGAAGACATACGCCTGTGTTACAAGACAAAGGACCGTGTGGGGGTTAAATTCCTGTTTGAACTTGGCCAGAGCGCTTACCTCTCAAAGCACGAGGACTTTTCCTAACCTCAGGCGAGGGAGGAGTTTCCCTGCCAGCCTTCCCTTCCCTCCTGTCACCACCCTGTCTCCATCGCCACGCCCATCCTCGGGTCCCTGCTACGTCCTTTGTCCTGCCCTGGCCCATGCAAATCCCCCCTGTTCCAGGCATGTGCACGGGTGCCTGCAGGCCGCCCACGTCTCTCCCAGGCCAGCAGGCACCTCTGGGCCCTTCCAGGGGGCTCATAGGAGACAGCAACAGCTCCCTCCCCCCGTGCCCATGCCCACTGAGCGGCAGCATCCTCCGAGCCCCCCGGGCAGTGCAGCCCCTGGGGAGTCCGGTGACCACCCCTCAGCCAGCTGGCCAGGCCCTGCTGTCCACTCTGGAACCTGCTCTCAGCCCGGTCATTCTGGACTCTCAGCAGTGCCGGCGTGATGTCCAGGGGACACCGGTCTCTGGCTTCTAGTTCTGAAACCGTGTTCTCCTCCCGAACCCTCACAGGGTGACCTTTGCACCCCAACCCTTTGGCTGGGACTTCAGCCTCGGATGCATTCTCTCGATGTCTCTTGAATAGCTCCTGCCTCTCTGTGGCCAGGTGTGCTCCTCCCCTGCTCTCTTCCAATATCTCCACCCAGCCAACCAGCCTTCCTCGCCCTGCCTGGTCCTCTTCTCTGCTCCCAAGCTTTTGGGCCAGAACTGGATGTTAGCATCAGCATTAGCCAGAGCACACCCTGAAGTCTTCCCACAGAACAGCCCCAGGAGGGCTGGCTGCACCCCAACGTTCAGCGTGGCTGGAGCCGGAGGGCCCAGGCTATGAGCCCTGGGCTGGGGCTGGAACGGTGGAGGTCACCTTCATCCTGCCAACAGTGACATCTTGTTGCAGGAATGGCTTGAGGCTCCCAAATCCACATCCTCTCTTCTCTGCACAAGCAGGCCAGGCAGCTGCACCTCTGAGCCCTGGCTGCCTCCAGCCCGTGGTTAATTGCCAGAAAATAATGAGTCCTGAGGTCATTGCCGCTTAAACAGCTGGCTCCGTCTCCTCCCTTTGGGCCTGGGTGGTTTTGAGCTCCCTGCCCTCCCTCGCCTGCGCTGTCATCCTCTCACACAGCCAAGGGGGGAGCCTCCAGCTGTGCTCTCCCCGCACTGGCTTTGGCAGCTTCTCAGTTCTCCTCTCTCCCTGCTGCCTCGCTGCCCTGAGACCACGCTGTGCCTCTCCCCCGCCTGCACACCCTGCCTCGATTTCCTGCCGGTGGCTTGGTGCCCTTCGGTAAGGGAGACAGAGGAGGAACCCTTAGCGGAGCTTCCTTCTTTGTGGCAGAATCAGTCCAATGGGGAGACTCCCAGGTCCAGGTGTATAAAGTTCCTGAAAACTTACCTCGAGCGTGGTGCCAGCCGGTGCCGAGCTGCCCTGTGTCACGGCCCCGGTCACCGAACCGCACCTGGCTGAGCCTGTCCCATGCAGCGACGGAGTCCCCAGTCCCTCTGAAGATTCGGTTCTAATTCGCCCCGTAACGTCACCGCCAGAAACAGCCCCGCAGGCTTCCTGCAGAGCCCCTCCGTCTGAACGCCGGTTTGGCTGAGAACGTATTGTGCCGCCCCAGCTTCGTTCTGGATCTGGGTTTTGTTTTAGGAAATATCTCACTTCCAGTTCAAACGGTTCCATTAACAAATTAAAGGAAAACCCCTTATGGTAAATGACTGTGTCCCACTCTGTGCTCACCACACTGGCTCCTCCTATTTGGGGTCCAGTTTGGCATCCTGTGAAGTGGCACCATTCTCACACAGGGCTCTGGGGGCAGAAGCTACAAGAGCTTCCCTTGGAATTCTAGCTCTGCTTTCTGTCAGGCCAAGACTCAGCGGCCCCTTCTGGAAGCCGGGGGCAGCCCTGAGAGCAGGGGCAGGCCCGGCACAGGGGCGCTGGGGAGGAGGGGGTAGGCTCACACTCCTGCACAGGGCCTGCGGAGACAGAACAAGATGCAGGTCAGAGTGTCCATGGTCCCGGGACCGGACCAGCGTGAGGCCCACCAGTCAGATAGGGTTCAAGGGTGTGAGCAGTGAAGCCACAGCCAGGAACTCCAGGCTCAGGGAGGGCTCTGGGGCCGTGCAGAGCTGAGGTTGGTGGCTAACAGCTGCGGAGTACAGATGCCAGGCAGCAAACCCAGGCCAGGGGAGTGGGGGTGAATTTGGAGCCAGCAAGGAGGAGCAGCCGTGTCTGAGAGGAGCTGCGGGTCAGGCACACCCCCAAGGCCCTGAGTGCATGCATTAGTGGGGACACCCTCTTAGGGGGAGTCAGTGCAGCCACACACTGTCCAGTGGGCTGGGCAGCTCCCAGGAGGGCAACCACCTGGCCTGGGCAGCCATGCCTACCGCCGGCTGACCAGTGCAGCTCACCTCGTGCTGCCACCATGGGCTCTGGAGCAGGAAGCAGATCAGATCACCGTAAAACATAACTCCCCCCCTCTGTCTGGGCCTCCGAGGGGTCAGCAGGGCAGGAGGGGCTGCCCACAGCTCAGCCCCACCGGCAGGGCCCTGCGTGTGGCCCTGGAGGTTGCACTTTGTACAAGGAACCAGGGGAGGCTGATGTCAGCTCGCCCGCTCACTGAGACATTTTTCTCATTGGAGCGCATTTTTCTAATTCACACCAAGGTGTCAGAGGTCACCCCTCCAGGGCCAGCAAGTGGCAGAGCCTGGACTCAAAGCCAAGTCAGCTGACATCTCACTGCCATCCTCCAGTTCTCAGGCCTGTGTCAGGTGCCCAGGCTGCTCAAGCAGAGAGGATCCAGCCACAGACCTCTTGTCAGCCTCCGGCTCATAGGGACAGCATTCAGAACCCCCCAAGGACCCAGGCACACACAGCCCCCTCGTCCAAAGCCCTCCCCATGGCGGGAAGAGTCCATGGGGTCCAGGGATCATGCCCACTTGGAACCTGCCTCTGTCCTCCCCGCTCGAGACTCATCTGTGGGCCAGGAGCTTGGGATCCCTGTGCAGTCAGCCAGACCTCAGTCCAGAGCCTGCACTGGGCGCCTTGGCTGGTGCCCCACCCTCCTCCACACCCTCACCCAGCGGGGACTGGAGAGGGAGACACAGAGCTGAGACATGAAGGCCCGGGCCCTTCCTGGTGCAGCACAGAGCCTGGTCCTTTGTCCTGCCCTGGAGTGTAGTACAGAACCAGGGCAGGAGGGAGGGCCCAGGACAGCGATGAGCAGGCCTGGCACCAACACTGAGACCATAGGTTTCCCTGCTCACTCGGTGCCAGAAGACAATGAGCTCCATCCAATGGCTGAGGGAGAAGCGGCTGATTCACTTCACTCAAAAGACAGCCTGCTCTTGGGTCAAAGTGCTTTGTTCGTGAAATGTACTCTCCCCTGTGTTGCTTCATTCAGTCCTGCCCTTGGCAGGCCCCCTGCTGGCTCTGGGCTGAAATTGCCTCTGACATGGCCAGACAGCCCCCGCCTGCCTGCCACCCCCGCCCTGTCCACTCTTGGGAGCCCATGTCCCCTTGCCCTCAGACCCTCCTGCCCACTTTCCTGCCATACCTGATGAACCCCGGCGTTTCAGAGCTCCCCCACAGATGGGCAGTGCCTGGGGGAAGGAAGAGGCATCACCAACCAGTGCCCGGGAGTAGGGGCTGTGCTCGCCCAGAGGGGCCAATTTCAGCCACCAGTACCCCCTCTTCTTCCTCCTCTGCCTTCACGTCTTTCCTTCTTCCCTACCTGTACCTGCACCATCTCCTTCACTTTGTCCTCTCCCAGTCACGTGGGCCTGACATGCATGCCTGACCTGTTGGCTCCTTCAAGAGCATACCGGGACCCAGCAGTGTCCTGAGCCTTCCTGGAGGTAAAAGCAGGTGGAGGTGGGGCAGGATGAGGTCCATCACAGCCCAGAGCGCGCCCAGGAGACCAGCCAGCAGCGTCATCAGGGCTGGGAAGCGTGCAGAGCAGCTGAGCCGGAGCAGTCAGGCAGCTGTGAGGGAAGTTAGAACCTGCAGTGCCCTTCCGGGTCCCTGCCTGTGCTTTTCCTGGGCCTTGGTTGCTGAAGCCACTACACTCAGCCACATCCCTGAACTCAAATGCCCCATGCTTCTGCTCTCCCCTCTGCCTGGCATGCACTTCCCTCCTTCTTCACCTGGTAAATGTTCACTACCCTGAGAGATGCCACTCCAGTGTCACCTCCTCCAGGAAGCCTTCTGTGACTGCTCTCCCTTAGTTTCCAGGGCTTGCCCCATAATAGCATTTAAAAAGCATCATTATGATCACTGACTATCCATCCCCCTACCACCAATACGTTTGAAGGCAATAACTGTCTTTCTGAGGATGCCTGGTGTAGAGTAGGCATTTAATAAGTATTGGATGTGTGGGCGGATTAACAAGCTGCCAGCAGGCCAGTGCGTGAAGAGGTGAGTGGAGAACACCGTGCCAGTGGCCAGCAGCGGTGGGTATGCCCAGAGCTGCTGGGAAGAGAGGAAGATGATCTGGGTGCAGGTGCCCCACCGCCCTCACTACTTTAGGAAAGCATTTTCATCACCATTGCTGCCCAGGCCCGATGCCAGGGTGACCGTCTTCTCCCCTTGCCCCTAGTACTTCTGCCTGTTGCTGGTGATCTTCCTCGTGGAGCTGGTGGCGGGGGTCCTGGCCCACGTGTACTACCAGAGGGTGAGTGCAAGGTCTTCCTTCTACGTCGCCCAAAGCGCCCCAGGAGGCCACGCGTGGGGGAGGGCGCAGGGTGCTGGGGAAGCTGAGGCACCGGCGCTCGGGAGGTCCTGTCTCCCAGGCCCCAACACTTCTCGGCACATCTGGGTCCTGCTTCTTGTCCGGGTCCCAGGAACCCTCTAATCTATCTGTGGATGCAGATGTCTTCAACATGGGAGCTTCCCTGGGGGTGGCTGGTTCCTCTCCCCTCCTAAGGGGAAGTCAGACATCCGAGGGAAAGAGAGGCCTGGCCCAGACTATGCCAGACTACGAAGACAGCCCCGGCCTCGCCTGCCTGAGGACAAGGAGAAAGGGGCCAGTCAGGTCCTCTCCCACTGCGAGCCCTCTGACCCAGACTGATATTCGGCTGGTAGGGACAGTGACCATTCTGGGTGTTTCAAGCTATAGGAGCACTGGGTGCCCACGGGATCTCATGATCAAAATGAAAATCAACGGGTATTTGAAAGCAGCCCTGTGCCTGGGAGCTGTCTCCTCCTGCACCTGCCCCTCAGCTCCTCCCACCACACCCCTGCCCTCATGTTAGGGCCCCAGCTTTTGCAACATCATCTCATGACTCTGGCTGCTGTGCACCAAGGGGCCCTTTCCACTGGGCGGGAAACCCCACACTGTACCGCTGGGAGAACAAAGTGGTGTAGAGTAGCCGGTGGGTAGGCACAGACCTGGGAACTGGGGTGGGGTGCTCTGCCGACCTACCTCCCTCCACCCTCCAGCTGAGCAACGAACTGAAGCAGCACGTGACCCGGACGCTGACAGAGAACTACGGGCAGCCTGGAGCCATGGAGATCACTGCCTCGGTCGACCGTCTGCAGCAGGATGTAAGCCCCCAGCAGGGTTGGGTTCTCTCTGTCCTGTGTGTCTGGGCCAGTTCCTCACCTCTGTCAACTCCTCTGGATAACCAGCAAGGATAAGCTCTGATCAACGCGAGTTTGAGCGCCACTCCCGGCACACAGCAGGGGCCTAACACACTGGCTAAGTAGACTACATGCCCCTCCCGCCCCACCCGCACCTCTCACCCCAAAGACACCTCACACAGCCATGTTCTGTGGCCCATGTAGGGACTCTAAGTCTCAGTCCCCAAACCAGAAGGGCGAGAAATAACCAATCCCCTGTTTTTCAAAATCACCTTGATCCGGGTGGGCACATCCTTGCCCTGGGGAGGTAAAGGAGATGCAGGGCCCAGGTCGGCACTCACACCCGCCCCTCTGGTCACTGCTGAGCTGCTGGTCCGCGGCCTCTGGGATACCTTTTGTGTCCCTGCAGGATCAGGGCTCTGAGGCCTCAGAGCCTGAATGGGGGCCTGGAACCTGTGGCAAGGCTGGGCCCCTGGCCCTGGGTTCTGCCGCCCTGCGTGACCTCTAGTGGGTGTGGCCCCACACTCTCAGGACCCACCTGCCTCTACCTCCCTGCCCATCCTCTCACACACCCTCCCGCCCCCTGGGCACCAGCATAATCGCCTTGAAGGACTTGGGTGATGTTTAAGGCAGCACACAGGTGGACTGCAGGCAAATTTTGCCTGAAATGAGACCAGTCCCCGCACCAAACAGGGGGAGGGGAGAATACCAGGGGGAGAAAGGGGCTGGTTACTATTCGAATGACGGTCCTGCTCCCTGGAGGGGCCTGTGCGTCTCCTCACCTCGGGGCTCTGCCTCTCTCTGCAGTTCAAGTGCTGCGGAAGCAACAGCTCAGCCGACTGGCAGCACAGCGCCTACATCCTGTCCCCGGAGGCCGGGGGCCGCCGGGTGCCCGACAGCTGCTGCAAGACGGTGGTGGTGCGCTGCGGCCACAGGGCCCACCCCTCCAACATCTACAAGGTGGAGGTGAGCCCCGGCCTCCGGCTGGGTGGGCAGAGGGCCCAGCTGCCCTCCGGGGGCCCCCAAAAGGCAGGCTCAGGCCAGACAGGTGGGAGGAGTGGGGCCCACTTCATTACTGGCCAGAAATCAGCAGTGCTGGGCCTTCAAAGGGCCACACAACGCAGGGGACGCACACCTGCTACTGAGAGATTCCGGGACATCACGGCCTAACCTGGGTCACCGGAAGCCTGTGGGCAGTTGGAAGGCTGCACCAGGCCCTTTAAGTCTCCGGCCTTTCCTCAGCCAGGTGGATACAGCACCCGGCCTGCCCTTCCCTCCCCGTCCTCGCCCACTTCTGGGCCAAGGTGAGGGTGACCTGTTGTTACCTTACAGGGAGGCTGCATCACCAAACTGGAGCAGTTCCTGGCCAACCACCTGCTGCTCATGGGAGCGGTGGGCATCGGGGTGGCCTGCCTGCAGGTGAGTGAGGAGAGGGGCCAGAGAGGAGCTCTGAACGCCCTCCCGCGGGCTGTGACCCCAGACCACTGCCCCTTTGCACACGCACACTCTGCCCTGCCCTCCACTCCCCTTCCCTTTGCAGCCAAAGCTGAGTCACATGGTCACTCTCTTCCCCAGAGACAGGAAGGAAAATGCCTGGGGCCGGGGGGCCAACTTGAACTTGTAAGGAGCAGAGACCTGAGAGGAGTGTGAGTGTGGGCTCAGGTATGTGCATGCACCCCTGTGTGTGTGCACGTGCAGGTGTGTGTGCAGCCTGCTGTGTCTGTGAGGGCCCCAGGTGTGTCCGCATGCATCATTGTGGGAGCTGGAACATGTATATGTGTTTAGGTGTGCTAGTGCACGTGTGTGTGTGTGTGTGTGCATGACATGCTCTCATTCCTCTGTGTATGTGCGTGTGCACACCTGTGGATATGTGCTTCCTGTGTACACCCAGCTCTCTGCTCTGAGCATGAGCCATGCTCTTTGCTCTGGGTCACCACTCCACCCTCCCCCAGCTGCCATCTGGGAGTTAGTGTTACTCTCATGGGTCATTCTAGTCACAAGTCAAGATCAGAGGAGTCAGGAGTGGCACCCCCAGGGGCAAGAGCAGGCTCAGCGAGCAAGGGCCTTGCGTGCCCACCTCACCTGACACTCCTGCTTCTGCCCAGCTGGTTCTTGGAGGGAGCTCAGTCCTGTCCCACCTTCCTGTGCCCGGTCTATAAGCACCGTCTAGGGGAGAAGGAGAGGGAAGAGCAGTGGCTGCCTGTCAGAGGACCTGAGTCCAGTCCTGTCTCTGCTTCTGTGCCACCTTGAGCAGTAACTTCCTGGCACCCCAATGTCATCCTCAAACTATGGATTGTTTTCCCAACTGCGTGAGGGCCAGACAGGAACAAGGTGATGGGTGTGACAGCAGCAGCACCTGGCACAGGTAAGGGCCTCTCTGTGGCCCTCAGAGTGGCTCAGATCCTTTCTCTTATCTGATTCCCACAACCTGAGACCCAAGCCAGACGAGTAACAGTGTCCTCCCCATTTTACAGTCCAGAAAGTTGAGACCCAGGGAGGGGACTTACTGCCACCCAAGTCTCCGTGGGCCTTTGCTTTCTCAAACTTCCTCCCAACACAGTTCTATGGGAAGAGAAGCAGGAGGGAACCTCGGTGTGGGTTCCTTGCAGGTCACAGCTGCTGGCCCGGGTCAGCCTGAGAGCCAGAGGGTCCAGCTGCAGCCTCTCCTGCTGGGCCTGGTCCTCTGGAGGGAGACCAGACAACCTGGGGCTGGTTATTCATCTCTGAGCCCTGGTTCCTCATCTGTGAAGTGAGGCTAATTATAGCTGGTTCGTAAGCAGTGAGGGTCAGCAGAATATATGTAGCCACAGGGCTCACGGCCGAGCAGGTAGCAGGTGCTCAGGACACGGTCCCCATCCTTGTTTTTATCACTCCCATGCAGCACATTCTTATTTCTCCCAGAGGCCCTGGTTGTTTCCTGGCCAGACCAGCTTGCCCCTTCACCTCCACTCAGGAGCAGGCCCAGGGAGCCCCAGGGGCAGTCACATGGCCCCTTGTGTACCTCCCAGGGTAGGCCTTCTGCCCCACATCCTGGACCCCAGGGGAGTTGCCATGGGGTCTGGGGAAGAGGCTGATCTGCACTCAGCTCCTGAATCAGCTGTGGTTTCTGGAAACCTGCTATTTGCCTCAGGTATCGAGGGCACCTGCTCTGCATGGACGCTGATCAGGCCAGGGCCACTCTCTGTCCATTTCTTTCTGACCTGTCTGGTCTGGGAGCCTGGAGAAGCTGGAGATGGGCCAGCAAAGCCATGGGCAGTGAAGGACTGCGAGAGCCCAGAGCCTAAGGTGGCCAAGTGCGCCTGTAGGAGTGATACCAGGAGACCAGGTTGGCAGGGTGCCTGCAAGCCCACATGTGCCTCCTCATCTCCTACACCCCACCATGAAAAGTCTCGGTCCAGCTCACTGTGGAACTACTCCTAAGTCCCCCGGAGAGAGCTTCTCCAGGCCACCACCAGGGACCCTAAGCCCTTGCGCAGTCTCTCCCCTCCATTCTTCTGAGGCTAGCCCTGCAGCAGCCAAGCCTCAGGTTACAGCTCCCTCTGCTGGCCAATGTTGGAACTACGCTCCCCTAGTCCAGGTCAGCAGCCAGCCTTGAAGGAGGGCTCACACCATGTTGTTCCCAGGTTCACAATCATCCTCCCGCCAGAGCAGGCACCAGGCACCTTCCCACACAAGCCCAGCGTGGCACTTGGAAGACCCTAAAGACTCAGGATAAACAAGGCCAAGATGATGTCACAAGGCTTCCCTGGTCAGGCTGGAGGAAATCTAGCTTGAAGTCAGAGGTTTTCCTATTGACAGAGGGGGATCTGAGGCTCAGAGAGGGCTGTAACTGTGCCCAAGGCCACAGAGTTCCAAATGTAAGTTAGCCCACTCCTATCCCCACCCCAGCATTCCCACACGGCAAGATAGGAACATGCAGAGCCCAGAAAAACTCACAAGACAGAGAGACGGGAATCTGCTGGGCAGTGAGGGGAACCGAGGCTTCCTGGGACCTCCTGGCCCTTCCTTGATGTTCTTGATGACCCCCAAAAGCATTCGGGCTTCTCTGTCAAAAGCCCCATGTGTGCCATACATCCAGGCCGGCTGTCAGAAGGTGGTGCCATATCCCACACAGTCTGGGCTCAGGCAGCCTGTCAACTGCCATCTCCTGCTCCCGCGGTTGACTTGTGTGTTTTCTCTGCTCACCCTGGTCTGCCGCTGAGTGTCTGTGCTGATGTCTGCATGTCCTCTGCCAGAAAGGAGACACTGAGCTCACTCAGGGATCTGAGTCGCCACGTTTCCGTAGTGTAATGGTTATCACGTTCGCCTCACTCAGCGATCTGAAAGCTCAGACATTACTCTTCTGCACGAATCAGGGCGGTGTGTGTGTGTGTGTGTGTGTGTGTGTGTGTGTGTGTGTGCACATGCACGCGCGCATGCGTATTGCTGAGATTCTGGCCTGCACACCTCCATCCTCACTGTACCTTCCCTGGGGTCACCCTGGGAACACACATCTCATCAAGAGTGAGCATGCTGAGAGCTCAGTCCTCCAATCTCCCCCAGCATGAGGTTTCAAAGAGGCAGCCACGAGTCTCTGCTGGTCTACCTACTCCCTCCGGCTTCCCCCTCAGCAGGGAGGAGAAAGATTCAGATAACCACAGGGCAGTCACGCTGCTGACACCTGGGTGGAATGGCTGTGACAACCATGTGCTTAAAACCAGTAACCTCTTACGCTGCCTTTCAGCTTGTGGCTCCGAGTACTGGGTGGATTAGCTCTGCTCTTGCACATAGTCTGGAGGCCGAGGGCTGTGTTCACAGGCCCTACCAACCTCCCACATCGGGATGGAGAGGAGGGAGGAAGGGGAGGAAGAAGGGGCATCTTTCACCACCTCCCTTGCGCCAGCCTTGCAAAGAGAGACCGAGGGCCTACCAGCCCATAGGAATCCGCACCTGCCTGTCCTCCTCCCATGGGCCAGCAGCTATTGGAAAGTTTGGGGAAGATGGGGCCTTGCTCCTGTATCTGGGGAAGTGCACCTTGGCCCGTGTCCACAGGGTGGTCATGGGGCTGCCCTAGCAGTGCCCCTCCCTGACCGGTGGAGTCAGGACCCAACGGCATCATTGTCAGGAGCATGATCACAGTCATGGCCTCCCTGGTCCAAATACCCTCATCTTGTCCCGGAGTACCCTTGGGTTGGAGGAGGAGAGGAAGGGTGGAGAGGAAGAAGGAGGCAAATAAGTCAGGGGAATAAGGGTCCTCAATAGCATGGAGACAGAAAAGTGAGACAGGAAAAGGTGACTTCCCGATGCTCTAGCCCCTCCTTGCTCAGCTAGTGGGTGTGATGGGGGCCTGTCAGGCAGGCTCCTAGGGCCTTGTTTGGTGCCACTTTCCATGCTGACTTACAAATGAGCTGATGACAGCTCTGGGTGCCCCTCCCAGAACCTCGGTTTCCCCAGTGGCTTCTGTCCATCAGCCAAAACCCACTGTGGTGGCTGGCTTTGCTCTGGGCAGAGCAGCAATGCAGACAGAGAAAGGCTGCTGGGGTCGCAGTCAGCTGCTCCTGAAGGAGCTGGGCCACAGACCAGGCAGGGACTGAGCTCATTCACTAGCAGTGCCGAACCTCACCCCCTCGCCCCCACATCGAGGTCCCTGCATGATTCATTCCCATTAAAACGTGAGAAGTACTGCTCTTACAGAGTAGTTCTCAGAGCGTGTTCCCTGGGAGCTTGTCAGAATAGCAGAACCTCAGTACCCCCTCCTCCCCCACTTCCCACATGGAAAGCTGCCCTTCATGGAGGTCCCCGCTGCGCACTCGGTGCAGGAAGCTCGCTCTGCGCTCTGACACCCGTACCGCGGTGGGTCCTGATCTCTCTCTCTCCACCTGGCAGACCTGCGGGATGGTTCTCACCTGCTGCTTGCACCGGAGGCTCCAGCTGCATGTTCACTAATGGCCCATCGTTTCCCCCTCCAACTGCCCCCCACAAGGACAGGGGTCCAAATCCCATCGGCCAGACCTGCGGAGCCAGCAAAGCTCATCTAGAAACTCCCAGAAAGTCCCCATCCCTGGTGTCCACTCTTCAGATCACCAAGTGCCCAAGACCACGGTTCCTGCGGTCCCCACCTGATCGGGACCCTCCACTTCTGAGTGCTCACTGCCAGCCCAGGCGGGGACTGGCCCTGCCAGGGACAGACAGGGGCTCCCAAGGACCACAGGAAGGTGAGAGAGTTGGATTCTCTGCTCCCTCCCAGCTCCTGAAACTACATTGAAGGACTATAAACCTTGACCCCTCTGGACCGGGCATTCAGTGTGACCCCCACCCGTGCTGAGCAGCCCTCCTCTCACCTCTGCTTAGGTTTGGGGGCTTTGCTCTGGCCTCCCGGAAATGCATCATGGTGGGCAGTTAGGGTTACTCTGCCCCCAGAAGGCCCGGGCCTCTGATCTGCCCACCCCAAGGCCTTCTCATGAGAGTGGAGTGTCCCCATGGCCTCGCTCCTTCCTGCAGGGCCTTGGTGTGGAGAGAATGAGGTGAGGCAGCAGGAGCCGGGTATGGGCAGTGGTAGATGGTGGGGCTTTGGGCAGGGAGCGAGGAGCTGGGTGTGGGGAGGCGGGAGTTGGCCATGCCAGCACATGGCACCACAGGAGCCTGCACCGCCTGGAGGCCTTTCCCAGGAGAGGAGCCCTGGGAGAAAGGCCTGAGCCCCAGCTCCAGGAATCTGCCCCCAGGAATCTCGTGTGTAGGGCCTGATTCTCAGAACTGCCAGGGTTTTAAACCTTGGGCGAGTGTATGTGGGCGAGTGTCAAACTCCTTCTGATTGGACCCAATCTGGTTGGAGCCACGGGAAAGGTAAAGCTCCAGGTCGAGGATGCTCTGCCCTGAACCTCACTTGTCCCTGTCCCGCTCCCTGACCACGAGGCCTCACTCTGCTCCCGGAGTGAGCGGTCCCTTCCTCGGGTTCTGCCTCGCCATCTGAATTGGGCAGGGGACCTTCAGAAAGACCTTCCTGGGGCTGAGGGGAACTGGAAGCAAAGCCTAGAAAATACAGCACAGATGCTGGCTGTTTCCTACGACAGCCACAGGGACCCCTCCACCCTCACCCCTGAGACTGTGACGCGATGCTCTAACAGAAACACCCACACCCGCTTCTATACCTCCCGGGTCCTGGGGACCCTCTTCCCATCTCACCCCCGAGAGTGGGCCCTTGTTGTGCTAAAACCAAGGCCAAGAAAGGTCACTCCCTGCCTCCCCACAGGGTCCAGTCCCCAGTGTGGCTAGCTCAGCTCTGGCTGAGCCGGGTCAGTCCTGGGTGAAGGGTGTTCTCTCTCCCAGACACAGATCACTGTGTCCCCAACACAGCTCTCAACTGTGCAGAAAACACACCGTCAGAGCACATTGCCTCCCCCCCTCCAAGCCCCCCTCTCTTCCTGCCTCCCGGCCTCCCGGCCTCCGGGGCTGGTGGGACCTGGCGGACTTAGCTCCTCCACCCAGAGGGCCTTGGGGTGGCTGAGGAAAATTCATTAGGTGGGAGGCCAACTTTGCTAGCAACCCCAGACTATATCAAGGACAAAAGAAACAGTGTTGTGGTTATCTTTGCTGCCCTCCAGCTTCCAGATAAATAAAAGGTGATGGTCAGGCCAAGCTCTTTGCTGACTTCTGAAACTCCACACAAGTCAGACCGACAGGTCTCACCAACTGAGGCAGAGAGTGTGCGTGCTCTTTCTGCCCAGGGCCGAGGGAGACGCAGGGGAGGGGTGCTGCGGCCTGGGACATGCCTGCCCTCCTGGGTCCCTTCACTTCCTGAGGTGCCCCAGCCTGTGAAGATGGGATGCCAAGCCTTGTCACCAGGGGAGTCCCTGGAGAGCTGACTTCCTGGCCCATCTCCTGAGCTGAGGAGGCAGAGGCAAGGGGAGCTGTGGCTCCTGGACTGGGCATCCTTTTGTGCGGACCCAGCTGGTCCAAACCGCAGAGGGACAGAGTGGCCCAGAACTTTTGGGAACTGGGACCTCCTTGTTCATGCCAACGGCCTGGGAGATGAGGCACAGTGTAGGAAACTGAGGCCCAGGGTGTGGTGGGTTCCCCGAGGAGCATGCTGAAGGCTGGAGTCAGAGCTGGGGGGCCAGTCCCACCTGTGAGCATGCAGATCTGCACCAGGATGGCTCCCCCAGGTCCCTGCTCTGAGACCAGCAGGGTCCTGAGCTCTCAGAGAGAGAAGGGGTGCATGCTGAGAGCCATGGCAATCCTGTGGGGGCAACAGGTGCCGGCACACAGGTCCAGAAAAGAAGCCAGCACACTCACACCCTGACCTCCCCACACTGCCCTTCCCTCCCTCAGCTCACGGGCAGCCCCTCCCAGAGAGAGTGGTGCACTCAAATCCATGTGTTTGGGGAGACAGGAGTGTAACGTCCTTTAGTGAGGGGACAAAGTCTTGTTTAAAATATTTGTGACCATCCTTCTCTTTCTCCCTCCTCCTCCCAGCTCCAGGAGCTCCACAGGCATAGCCATGCAAGGGGCGAGGAGGAGGGCTGAGGGGGGGAGTGCGGAGAGAAGGGTGTCCAGGGCCTCGTGTTCACTGAAGGTTTACTGTGTGCTTAGAATGTGTTAGTCATGTAGATACACCATCTCGTAGGGACCAAGGTAAGAGGGTATATTCCCCCCACTCTACAGAGTCAGCAGCAGCTGCAGCTGTCATCACACCACCCCTCTCCCCAGAGCCTCCAGATCTCCATCCTAATATATAAAAACCTGGGGTCCGTACCATCCAAAACGACAGAAGTCTCGACTGAACACCAGGCTAGAGAGCTGAGGGAGTGGGTGACTGGCGAGTGGCTGAAAGACAGACCTCTTGTTCCCTCCTCCCAGCCCTCAGACTCCAATCAATTGGTGGCAGAGATGGGGCAGAACTGGGGACTGGCTCCCTTAGTAATCCTGTGGATTCAATCTCAAGAGGACAGGACAGGCACCAACAGACCAGCGCTGCTGGCCTCCTGGAACTCGGCCTCCGGCACTACGGCCCCTTTCCCTCCCTAGATGCTCCACAAGGTCACTCAAGCCCGCCCCGCTCCAGACTAAGTGTGATCACTGCACATGGAAGAAATATAGTAAAAAAAAAAATTAAAAAAAAAATAGAAACCAATGACCAAGGGGTTGCCTCCACCAGCTCACGGGAGCCTCCAAGCACTGGGCACCCCAGCTATTTTAAGGGCTTCAGGTGAGTGGGGGACACAGAGCGGTCAGGAAACCTCCCATAGGTCTGAACACTGATTCATCCGTCCTGCCATCTGCCAACAGCTGCCTCCACAGAGAAGGGAAAACAAAGGGAGGGGGTGGTTCTGCAAACCCCAGAGGAAATCCAGGGGCCCAGGTACTCTGCCCCACCCGCTGACGCTGCAGCTATGATGGCACTGAGGCAGTCAACCAGTCTGTTCCACCCACCCCCCCAACTGGTCTCAAACACAGGAAGCACCCCTTCTGAGGGGAGATGCCCACCAGGTACACAGAAGGTATACAGAAGGTGCTCAGTGAGGAGTCCCCACGGGTTGTGTTTGCACCTTCATGCTGCCCACCCCCACCCCCAACACAATGCTGAAGGAAGCTTGATTCGGGAACACCCCCATGTTGACCACCCACACGGAAAACAGCGTGTGATAAACATCATGTCCCCCAGACGCCTGAATCTGCCTCAAAGGAAGATGCTACAGACCCGGAGCGGAAGAGGGACTGAGACAGAAGGTCTGGGAAGAACAAAGCTGCCCCAGCCCCCTCCTGAGTGAGGCGCCTGCGCCTGCATTGCTGCCCTTGGACGGAGGCCTGTGAGGGAGGGAAGAGCTGTGGCTGTGCCCGTGGCTGCTCAGCCTCCTGCCCTCGTGGATAAGCAGGAGACATATTTATGTGCCAGAATCTAAAGCCCTCTTTATCGGTAATAACGCAAATAATGCAAGACCCACACGTGTTTCTAATCCGGACTCTGGCTGCGTGTGAACCCAGATGGAAGGCCTGCTCTCCACCGAGGAGGCTGCAAAGGCTGCTCCTCTTTCCAACGGATGCAACCTAGAGCGGTTTAAAGGGAAAAGTAGACATAAATAAAACAATAGCAACAAGCTCTGAAGCCGCTGCTGCTGCTGCCGTCAAATCCTCTGTGGTGGTGACGTCGGAGCCTGTCTCCCCATGCTGGGGCTCAGACTGCAGAGCTGCTGACACCTGCCAGGTCGCCTGGCACCAGCCTCATCTACCCACGGCCACTTTCCACCTCCCACCAGCTCCTGGAGGCGGTGGGCTTGGGATGGAGGCTTCCGTGTTAAAGCAACCCTCTTGGTGTAGCACAGACACACATGGGCTTTTTGATGAGAGAGCACCCATAACATCCCTTCACGAATGTGTTTTTTACTGTTCCGAGATCACGCGCCCAGCCGTGGCGACTCTCAAACAGGCCTCAGCAATTCCATTCGCCCGAGGCAAAGACTGATGGTGGTTTCACGGAGACCAAACCCTCGTCCCAGAGCAGACAAATCCTTTCAAAAGGAAGGTCACCCTGGTTGCAGGTCCTTGCTCTTCATCACTTTGAATATTTCTTGCCACACCCTTCTCTACCCAGCAAAGCTCATTTGGAATTGAAAGCCAGATAGAGTTTCGCAGACAAAAAAAAAGCTAAAGGAGTTCATCACCCTGATTGGGCACCAGCCAGTGGCCAACCTCCTGCAGCCCCTCCCCCTCCCGATGGGGGCCTCTGGCCAGACCCACTCACGCACAAATTCATGCACCAGGCCTCTAGTCTCTAATAAACTGTCAGGCTGACATTCAGGAGCATGTCCCACGGGGTGTTGTGGAGCCTCGGCAGCCTCACACCCGCTTCCTGGTTGGGCAGGACCACCCCCGGCCCCCTTCTCTCTCACTAGAGCCCTGCCCTGTGCGGTTGGAAGAGAAGTGTGGCTCCTTCGGACTGACAACCCCCCCCCCGCCCACACACACACACACACACACACACACACACACACACACACAGAGTGTCTCACAGGAGCCTGGGCCATGGCTCAGGGGGCACGTGGCCAACCACCTCCGGAGCCAATGCTGCCAGTGAGGGTGACCGCCCTGGGCACTCAGAATCCCCACTCAGGCTGTGAACACTCACGCAGCGGGGAGACACGGGCCTGGGGCATGGAGGCCTGGCCGGGTGGCAGAGAACACCTCTCCCGCCCCTGCAGCCTCATGCATCACAGAGCTGCCGGGCAGGGAGGAGGTGTCCGGCTGGTGGAGCCCTGTGGCCGATACTGGGCTCGGGATGGGCACAGTGTGAGCTGACACCAGCCTAGACTCTCATCAGGCTGCCGCCCTGTGCATGGCCCCCGGCCTGGCCGAGGAGAGGTGGAGGTGACACGCAGGGTGATGTGACTCCAAGATCCTCATGTCCACGGCCACTTTCGGTCTTGGCATCGGCCACTCCTGGTCCATCCTCAGGGTTTCTAGGTGAGGGTGTGAATTAAGTTACTTTCGCCACCACCCATCCTGCTATCAGCCTTGAAAACATTCTGTCCTTACTGGCCACTTTGGGCCTGGGGACAGAACTGGAGAAGGGGAGGTGGTTTGATGGCTAAGGAGAACCCCACGTTTTGTGTCACCACTGGATGGCGCTCACGTCTGCCAAGGATGCTAGTGATCAAATTTGAGCTTGCATGAGGGTTGCCTGAGGGTCACCTGGAGGACTGCACCTGGAGAGCTTTTAGCAGATTACTGCCCCTCCCCCGCTCGCCTTCCCTCTCCTGCCACGGCCCCTGTCACCCCCCAGCTTCCGATCAGAGGGTGGAGCCACGGATTTGTGTCTCTAGATTGATGTGGGTGCTGCTGGCCTGGAACCACACCTGGAGAGCCCCTGCTTTAGACCACAGCCCGTACCCACCTTAGTCTGTCACAGCCCCAGGGCTTGGGTCCCTGTGAAGCTTGGATCCCCCTCTGTGAAACAGGGCGGCGACCACTAGCCAGGACCGTGCCTCCCTGCTGTGCGTTCTGCAGCACCTGTCCCACCTCCGCTGGGATTGAGGGGGGCCGTTTGAGCCCGTCTGTGACCCCGGCTGGCAGAGCAGTGCTGGATCCTCTTCCCAGAAGGGAACAGGTCCACAGTCCAGCCCCATTTTCCCACCTGCTCCAGCCCCACGGCACTCTTGTTGCCCCCTTCTCTCAGCACAGGGCCAGGCCTGTGCTCCTCCCTCAGCCCCCCAGGTGCCCCCTTCCCTTCTGAGGCCAGAGGGCTCCTGAGGATCTGGAACCCGTGGTCCTGGATAAGGGCTGTTCCAACACTCTAGAGTCAGGGAAGTCCCCTTCCTCTATCGCATACAGAGAAGCTGTTCTTCTTGTAACCAGCTCCCTCCTTCGCTGCTCTCAGTGTAAGCCAGCCTCGGTGCCAGGGGGCACGATAATGAAGGAGCTGCATCTGAAACTACCTGCTGTTGCTGTTTTCCTCCTGCAGCGAATTCCCGTCAGGTGTTCGCAGAGAAGGGTAGGGAGCCTGGTGGCGCCCCTTGGCCACACTGATAGGGTCCTGCCAGCTGCCAGGTTGACTGTTTGCACGGGCCTCACCTCCCCCTCATCTCCTGTGTCACTATCCCTGGTGGTGAGCAAGAGCCAGGCTCTCACAAGTGTGCTTGAGTTGTGTTCCCCTTAAATCGCCTTAGGGCAGCGGGGACTGCCACACCTCTGACTGTGGTGCCCAGCCGCCCCTGTTGTGAGCCTGTGGTCTGCCCGTCCTGCTGTGGGCATCACCCTGGTGCGCTGAGGCCGATGCAGGGCGTGTGGAGAAGGCAGGGCAGGGGCACCTCAAGCTGAGGCACACCTTCTACTGCTCCCTGCCCCCCCCCACACTTCACCTCCCCCCAAGGGCTAGTGTCTCCACCCCCCTCTTCAGACCACTAATTTGTCCTCATCCCCAAACTAGAGTAAGGCACTGTTCACCCCATTGCAGAAAGAGGTCCATCTATGATTCAGAGGGACTGAGCGCACCAGGGTGTCCGCCCAGTAAGGAGCGAAAGGAAGTAAATGCTTTGTCTTTTATGACATAAACATTCCTTCTATTTCATTCACTATTCTGTCTAGGAAACTTGCTTGAGGTGGGGTGGGGTCCATGAGGGAGCCTGAGGAGCCCCCAGGTA